AGTGTTCGGACCCCGTTCCAGGGGGCGCTGACGAGCTGCCCTGCCACGCCCGGGTACCATCTTCAGCCCGGCTCTGATGGCCGCGGGTTCTGACCCGTGTGCAAAGTTTCAAGAGTTTTCGAGCACGTTAAGGGCCCCAAAAGTGCCCAAAAGGTAGTAAAATAATAATTATTATAATAATAATAATAGTAAAGAAAAATAATCCCAAGGAAAACAATAGGGCCTTCGCCCTTTCAGGGCTTGGGCCCTAACTAGTAAAATATTGCACATACCTTTGTGTCTTTGAATTGGTAGTTGTCATATTCTTTTACCACAACAAACAGATTGTCTAGAGACTTCAGGTGATGTACCTTTAGAAATAAATAAATGAAAATTAATAACAAAACAATCTGAAGGTAAATAGACACTGTAAATAGAAGGTGCATGCATATTTCCTCACTATCATGTTTTTTTTCTCAAACCAATATGGCTTTTTTCATGAAAAACAACAAAAAAAGACATTTTAAATATTTGTAATGGTCACTGATTTCAATGCAGTTACAACAAAAAGAATCTGAGGAAAAAGAATTCTATTCCTCATAGAATCTGATGTTTATGGCTTTCCGACACCATCGAGCTGCTGAAGTGGGGTGGTCCGAGTGCAAACTGAAGCATATAACTGCTTGTGAACGTGTTTACTACCCACTCCGACACCTCCGGAAGTGCATGCCATGCGCTTGCATAGGGAGAGAGGGGATGTAACGCTCTGTGAGGCACCCGCAACCTATTAGAGGGATGATATTGACTGCCTCTGCACAAGTTAGACCACCAGTGTGTGCCAGGGGAACACTTGTGCTGTGCTGAGAGTGAGGAAATGCACATGGCTTACGTGCCGCAAGATGCCGCTCGGGAGCGGGGACCGGGGGCTTAAAATGTGCAAGTGAGAGTGAGTAGGAAAGTTGTCCTGCTGTTGAGACACTTTTGTTTTTATTGCAAAGTTTATTGGCAGCAAAACATTCAAACTTTCCCCTCCGTCACCTGCAGCCTGCAAGGGAACAGATTGGTGCAATACAGCGAGGTGAACTCTCTTGTTTGGTGGCTCAACGTCCACGTTGGGTGATGGTTTCCTCCTCAGACCACTCCGGTCAGGAACGAGGCTAGGTTTCAGGGGCGGGCTTTCCCTGGATTTGCACAGCTGGTCTTGGGTACTTCCTTGAACCAGAGTAAGATGCAGCTTGTGATCTATCTGATGCCTTTGAACATACTTTTGACTGCATCTGGGCCACAAGGAACTTCTCCAAAAAAGAACCCACAGCATCGCCAAATAGGCCATGGAGGCTCATGGGCACGTCCAGTAGCTGTGCCTTCTTGGAATAACTTAACATTGCTTGCCATGTTATAGAATTCTAGTTCATTCATTCGATATGTTTACTTGTTCTTTGTCTATTTTTTTTTCTTCTTCAAATTCAAATTTTGATTTCCCTCATAGCTGGTTGGATTCATGACTTGTTAAGTCCCTTTAGGAAAAATGAACGAAGGTGGGGGGGAAATGTTTATTAAAAAAAAACAAAGATTTCTAAAGATTTCTGTCCGTGCTTGATGAAAAACAGCGGTGTCATTCACTACACAGCACTATACGGCATGTCACAACTTTTAGTGGCACATGTTACTGAAAACCGGATGTGCCGCTTAAAAGAGCATGTGCTGATGGCTTCTCTTCTGTAAGATTCCATGCCACTATAATAATAACACAGCATATGCAAATAACACTTTCTGATCTCAGAGAATCATTGTCGTTACGTGAAACAAACGAGAGGACAACTGACCTTAACAAGTTTATCTGTTGTTATATCAAAATAAATCCTTCCTCTGTTTTTGCTGACTCTAGCAGTGGCATCGAGCTTTTCCTGAACCTCCTCCGCCGCAGTCAGCTCGAATCCCGTCGGAACAGTCGCTCCGATCGTCACAGTCTGATCAAACTCCTGCATTATCAGCCCCCGGTTTTACTGCATTAGAGCTTTAAAAATGTTAATGCCACGAATGTTACTGACACGTCTCATACAGTTTTCCTGATTATATAATTTAAGCCTCAAGAACTTTAAACATCGCCTTGCAGTGTTCACAAACCGTTGAACAAATTCGAGACTTTCGGCTAGTGAGCATTTGAAGGCCGAAACATTTTTGTATACTATATTATTTTATAATACAATAGTAACTCAGGAGAATAGATCTCTACAGTAACCGCACACTCACTGCGAAGTTATCTCTTCTTTCTTCTTGTACTGTTAAATAGCGAATCTCAAACTGAAATAGCGCATTACCGCCACCTAGTGCTACCATCGACCTTCTCCTCCAGACGTTTAAAAAATAGAATTAATTTATAAATCACATTTACTTATAACTATGGGTTGCATAAACTGCAACAAAAAAATACACATTTTTTTAAGTTAAATTTGACTTTAAATCCAGTAGGCAGCCTACAATATACATTATATACATGATCAAATACAAATGACATGCTACAGGAGTGTAGCTAAATCAGTGGAGTGGAGAGTATGGCTGTCTCAATAAACATTTTCAAAACATTTTCCCTCAAGCAATCCATGATGGAAATGTGCTCCACTTCATTTAGTGGGTAAGAAAGCTTATTTTGATGGACCTTTAACCCCTCGATCATGGACCCTTTACACATTTCTGAGGTTCTCAGCATAAATGTCATCATAGTGGGGTACACTTCAATAGTGGTGAATGGAAACTATATATATAGTTATATAGTGGTGAATGGAAACTATTTTATATATATACTCTATATATATATATATATTAGAGGAAAAGTTCCTTTGTGTTGCTTCAAATAGTTTTCTGAAATGTCACGAAGATACTGTAATAGAACACACTGTTGAGTTAAAATGTAGGCTGCATTAAAATGGTTCAAAAATGAAAATATGAAAATCTTTGCTAGATTTATACAGTGTTGATAACTGGAATCGCATCATCACAGTCTCTGAACTTTGAACTTTGAAGTGAACATACTCAAATATATGCTTTAGGCAGAAACTCAATTGTGACAAGTCAGTTGTGCTTAACTTCAACATATGAAGAGATAAACTGAGATGTTCCTAATTGTTTATTACCCATATCATATCATATATCATATCATATCATGTTTATCATAATTTATAGTATTGTAATCAATTGTATTCTCATCAACAGCTCAATACAACTCTATTCTCAAGCCAAAAGGAAAAAAAGTAGAGTGAATCAACTCCATAGTCTGTTCTAAGTGCTTAATCCTGTTCCTGAGATCTACATCTACCTTGCTGCAGAATTATGCTCTAAACCTGTCTGTATTATAAAGTGTTCATGAAAATCTTTATTATCTGGTTCAGGTGTGTTTTATTAGATTAGCAGCTACACTTGCAGAAAGGTAGATCTCCACGAACAGGAGTAAATGCCCTTGGCTTGGTAGTGCATTCTTTCCAAACTCACTGCACGGGTTCCACCAGTAGTGGGCACTAGTGTAACATAAGCTTAAACAGTATTCGAGATAGTGTACATGCAGTACCATCAACAGTGCACATTTTTGATGTCTGTCTGTTTTCATGTCATCAGTTAGAGACTCCAAGACCAAAAATCGTCAACATTACAAACATCCTAATATGGCTGCATCCTGAATATAACAGTCCTTCTTTAGCATTGAACATTTGTCATCTGAGTTCTTTGTCATTTTGGATGGGTTTTATTCAGTTTTGCTGGTTCACTTGTTTTAGTTCAGTTTTCTGTGTTTGAGTTATTTCCTTGGTTTTTCAGTTGTTGATTATGATTGGCACCTGTTCTTTATTTCGATGATTACGGTAGTTTGAGTAATGTTAGCCTATTTAAACCCTGAGTTTGTTTAGTGTGTTGTCCGTTCTCATCTATTACGTTGGTTGTTCTGTTACAAAATAAATACTGCTGCGCTTAAATTCAGCTCTTTATTTAATAGTGTTTTCAACCAAAGAATGAGGTTTAGTAAGTCTGCATGGCCATGTCACAGTTATGGGGATATTCAAGTGTATTGTTTAAACTTGTCACAGTGCAGGCAACAAAGAGGAAATATGGATCTTGATGCTGCAGATATAGCAAAACAAAACAAAACATATCATAAAACTCAGAACATGGGAGTGAGAAAAATGAATGTGACAGTTTTGCATGCAATTCAGACTCCACAATGAACATTAAATGGAACAGAGGGCATTAAATACAATGGTAAATGAGGAACCAAACAGGTTCTGAAACTAAACTACGAGCAACAGGAACAAAAACAAAACAAAACAAAACACAATAATGTTCTTTGTTTTTCTATTGCCATTACCATTTTTTTAAAATGTAACAATGCACAAGAATCAAATGACTTACTAAGGTCTCCAAGTGGTCTACATCATAAGCAGCTGTTAATTGATTTGTAAAAAATAATTAGACAATACATGTAATTTGGTAGCAAAACATGGTGTTTTAAATTTTATTGGGTGATGAGTGTGTATTTTGTAAATTATTTTCAACTGATTTTTAGAAGTTGACCTTACAAAATGTTCTCATCTGTTACTGTCTAGTCTACATAAGGACTGATTTGGAATTTAAATAGCAACGTATTTGAAAATCAAAAAGTGTAAATAAAGAATAAATAATTAAAACAACACTTGATCAAAAATATTACTCTATGAGGGTTACAATACATAATATTCTGAAATAAACGAACTAAAACAGTAAAGTATTACACCAGTTTTACAAGCAACTGCTAACATCTTTTTTGAAAAAAAAAGAAAGAAAAGTTTTTACTTTTCTTTTGGAAAAGTCAATCCAAAACACTGTGCAACAAACACAATTCAAAAGTTGGTAACAGAAATTTGAGACAAGACTTGATTAATAATTTACAATCCAAAATAATGCCATCCTGACCAATTAGAAACCACTTCCGGGTCGCCTTTTCTGGAACTAAAGCCAATCGCTAGTTTCCCTTCTAGTGATTCATTTCTACATACGAAACCTTTTCACTTTGAAAAGCTGCCGAAGCGCGATATGCCGATTGTGAAATGGGCCAGTAAATTGCAAAGTACACATTTTTAAATGGATAATTTTAACTACAAAACAAACGACTGACCAGTGCAGAAAAAAAGAATCGGGATGTGATAATCATCATTATTATTGTTTTATTTTTATTTTTTTCTACCGTAAACCGACTAAATCACACAGTGGACAGGTCAGCGTGTTAATTTGCGCTGTTCAAAAGTCGTCCAAGTTGGATAAACTGTTTTTTTCAAACTTAAGAGTAGAGTAACGTGGATAGAAGGTAAGTTATGTTACACATGTTTGCGCTTTAATTATGGTTTTAAATGTTTTACTTAAACAGACTTGTTCATATTGTAAATGTTACTCTATAGAGTAGTGTAAAAAATCATCGTGTTCATCGTGTCGTTATTCATGTTGAAGTGAAAGTGAGATTTGTTTTAAAGTTAACGTTACTCGTTCCGATTATGAACTGGCTTTAAACAAAGTAACGTTAACTACGGTCTTTGGGACATTAAACCAATGGGACTCTTAAATGACTTTAAATCGTTGATAATTTAACTTTTGATTACACAAATAGTGGATGAAAAGTATTGTATGTTCTTCTCTTATCGTAATAGATAAAGGGAGTTCATACATTTAACATTAGCACAGATGCTAAACTGCAGAGTATAAACAGGTGTATTTTAAGTTGGGAGACATTGTAATTAATCTTCATGCTTTGAATGAATGCACCATGTCCTTGAAAATGCAATTTTGATGAGAGTTGTTCTGCTAGATAGGCTAATATGCTATGTAAATGAAGAAGCGAAATGAGATCATAAAAGTATCTATAACATGAATTAAATGTAATTCATTAAGTCATTCGAATTTATTTATTAGCATTTTTGTTTATTATGAGTTGTGTATATATATATATATTAAACAATGCATTCCTATGCATCTCTTCTGACATTTTGGAGTTATTTTCGTGTCCAGTGTCTGGACCTTAGGCTATTTGGTGGTTTTCTTCTAAACACAGGGGTCTTTTGTAGTCTTTACACTTGACATAAATCTCAGCTGGTCTGAGGATGTAGATAGTGCTACACAAAGGTGTAAACAGACTCCAATGTTTCATCTTTGTTTTGCTTACTGGAATGGGCAATTATGTGAAAATTGTGAATTTTCAATATTGATAATAAGAAATGATAGAATTTCCGGTCTTTAAAATTCTTTCAATTACTCATTTTCAATTTTCAGTTACTCAACTCACCCTCAAGTCAAGTCACCTTTATTCATATAGCGCTTTTTAGATACAGATTGTTTCAAAGCAGCTTTACAGAGATAACAGGAAAATAATGGAACAAAGTTTGTTTCCAGGGGAAAATAGTGTCACAGTCCAACTTAGGTGAGCTCAGTGAAGTTTATTTTTTGTTGTAAAACAAAAAGCTATTAATTTGGTCAAAATATATATACACATATATATATAGCAGCTCAGGAAAAATCCAGCTTAGTTCAGTTCTCATATAATGGTGTCAATGACGGCAGATCAATAAAATTGTTGAATACTAAATGAAATATCCCCAAATAAGCAAGCCTAAAGCCAATGGTGAAAAAAGGCGAAAAAGGCAAATGGAAAGGAACCAAAACTCCATGAGGTGACAGAACGGAGGAAAAAAAACCCACCTCCTCTGGCCAAAGAATGAACAGTGTATGATTATGATTCAGGTAGCATTAGGTCAGAAGTCAGATTGGATTAGAACAATCAGAATATGTCTGGAGTGTTTTAATATTTTGGTTGCCAGTGTGTTCTAGATAGTTGATATGCATTTATCAGGATGTTCTGGCTTTTATATATCTGGGTGTTATAGATCTTAATCAGGGTAGCACCATATTTATTTTTTGAAAGGAATGAATAACAAGGCTTTGAGGATAGAAGTGTGTTCATTGGATTGTACTGTTGTTTAATGAAAGGTCTTTCCAAATAAATAAATAAAAACTTACTGTATACATAAACGCCATAATAACATTAGAGTTGTGAAATTAGCATGATTTAGGACCTTTTATACAGGGCTTGCCATTGTAAAGATTATATCTGTCCCTCACAGTCTCATTTTCATCCAAATTAAATTCAATATGGTGTCTAACCTGACTAAGGTCTGTAGCTGGTTACTAGGATAATGTGGCCAAATGTTAATTATTGTTTGGGTTCCCAAGTCTTTGTAAAATAGAATTGATCTTATTAAATAGACGTCAATAGATATAATGACGATCTCTGTTGCAGCTCGAGGCTTTGTAAACAGTAAAATAAAAAGAGGCCACAGTCTAGTCCGATTCTTTGTTTAGCCAATCAAACAGCTTTTGATGCATCTTCTGCCTGTCAATCATTTTGTGGGAGCCAGCCCATTTATTTAGCCGTCTCTCAATGTATGCCCTAGTAAAAAAAAATTGTATACTTAATCACAATTTATTTGTATGTACTTTAGTATAACTAAAATTGTTTCTGGCCCAATATAAATTGGTATACTTGAAGTCTGTTAAATTGGAACAACTAATTTTGTAATAAATGCATTTTAGTTTTCCAAAAGCAGTGCTGAAGTTATATGAAGTATTTAATATACTTTTTTTGTACTAAAGTAGAACTATTCCAAGTATACTTAACTTAAGTACACTTTATATTCTCTTGTATTTAGGTTTTGACATGCAGAATTCACTCAGCGTAAACTGTAAAATGTATTTTGATTACAATTACAATTCTATTACTTTAAGAATTGACTTTTTGAACATACCTTTATCTTATACTGTTAACACACTTTTAACTTGAATGCATTTCAAGTAAACTTGAAGTATGGTAATGGATACAACAAAGTAAACTTTATAAATAGTAACACAGCTTAAAGGCACTTGAAATCAAAATGTACATTTTTTTTTTTAGCTTTTAGTATGAATATGTTAGGCTTATGGTTATGAATAAGCTGGTGTGTTCCAAACCAATGACAAAATTTGCATTTAGGAGATATAAGCATTCAAAACTTACAGTCCAGTCCCTCTCTTCCTCTAAAATGGATCACGGATTTGAATGACGTCACCGCGGACAGCTTCTCATCACATCTTCTAGCCTATCCAATCAAATACTCTCTAGAATGTAAAGCGTCCTGCCCCCTATTTTATAAATACCACCTGGCCAAAGTGACCATCGTTGACAACACGGCGCGGAGCAATATGGGTTTTTGCCAGAGTCGATATCATCTCAATCATCACTTTTTGAAACAACTCGCAGCACGGATGTACCTAATACAAATAAATTAAATTAAACATCTCCAGTTAACTAGCAGGGTATTCATTTCATTCGTTTGTCAAATAAGTGGCGTTCTAGCGCTGAAATGTGTTGTTTTTTTAAATCAAGCTGCTGAGCTTGTTGCTGCTTCTATCATTTGCATGCATACAGTGTTCTCTTCACTCGGACACACACTTTAATCTATCGCCGTTGCGGAGACTCTCTATTCGTTGTGGTGAAATTTTCCACAAAACAAAATGGTGTCCCTGCTTGATATACAACAAGCCTTTATGGAGCCCTAAGCAGAATTTTATTTGGGGGCCCAGCCCACGGTGACCTAGTAGTAGTAATTTTATTACCGGTGCCCGGTAGTAAGTCTACTGCTGCGGTAACATGTGTTGCGAATGTATGTCGAGCTATAGGTCACTTGTGGCGGTGGGGCCGGCTCTGTATTACAACCACTGATAAACATTCGGTTTTGGTGAGAAAAAAAACTATACAGGTGAAGATTAGAACCCAGAATCTCTGACACACTTGGCAAAAGTTCTGCCGCTAGACCATGAAGGGAGCGTGCACAAGCTACATTCGCAGATCTATGGATTTATTTGTCATGAAAATTCTCGGCACAGACAAAATATATTAGTACAGTGGTTCTCAAACTTTTTACACCTCAAACTTCCTCAAACTTGAGTAAAGTGGTTCTCAAAAAGTGGTTCTCAAACTTTTAAAGTACCACCTCAGAAAATATTTGGCTCTCCAAGTACCACCATAATGACCAATATGAAAATACAGTTGCTTAGTAGGCCTAGGCTAACTATTCAGCTACAGTTATACAGCTCAAAAATGTGGCGGTTTATTTTCTAAGAATATTTATTATTGTCAGCCAGTTTAAACATTGTAAAAACACAGTTTGAACATTAATACCGCACTGTTCTGCTTGCATACAGGTAAATTAAAACTTAAATAATGATTTAAATGTATTGTACCTAAAAGTGAAATAAAAACTGTAGCCTACTGTACTTAAATATATGTATAAATTAAAACTACTGTAGCCTACATAAATATATTTTTTTAATTATTTAACCTTTTTAAACGTGCGTAAGAAATATTTTTCAAGGCAATCATTATTTAGAACTTAGCCTATCACTTTATTGTTTCCATGGTGACACGTCATTGTTTGTCACGTGACACACTGCAACCACACATGATCTGCTTTTATTTAATTTTTTTATTTAAAATATTCACTAATTTGTTAGCTATGCCATGAAATATTTTATATATTCCGATTGTCAAATATATTCAAGTAGGAATTGTCAGTGCATACACACAGTCGGCAATGCGTCATAGTTGGGGGGGCGTGGTCGGCGTGGGGGAAAGCAGCGTGACCATCGTATGTATTTGAATGACAAAAATGTCATATTGCGAGTCATTGACGTCTGCCGACCGGTAACGATACATTGCAAAATGAATTGTAATAGGTTATGATTGCCCTTATTTAATTAAAAACTGGGTCAATGACACAACCAAATGACCGGAGGTGTAGTTTACAGACTATTGTTATCTGGTTAAATCTCCAGGTAAGATGTCGCAGTAGCTACCGGTAACATAAGTCTATAAGTCAATCAACTTGCATATAAGTTACTTACTATAAGTCCATAAAACCTTGTCGCTTACCAATTGTATGTATGCTTCACTCCAAACTATTAATGCTTTTGTAAAACGGTGATCAGTAGTACGTAGTTGCAGAGGGACTTTGCTGACAGTTATCCGAATTCTCACAGACTGCAGTCTGTATTGAGCTGATAATCTTCCGCTGATAACGCTAATGTGAATGAGACATCCCTTATGAAAAACAACTATAGGAATCTTGCAGTATTTTAGGACAAAATATTATAGTAACGTTAATCCTATATCCTATTACTATAGTTCTTTTTCGTAAGGGATGTAACGTCCGACAATTCTGGCCCACTGCCCAGTTAAACATCTACTGCTATATCACACAGGGATCTACTCACACAGTAATCTAA